CTATGGTAAGCTAGTGACATTTATCCCTTAGTATTCATCAAACATTGCATTCCTACTTGGTGCTTTTCACTATGTGAATACAGATATTCACATGTGATCCCTTCCCTCAGAGAGTCCACAGTCTTTTGCAAAAATAGACATGTAAATCCTTCATTGCAATATCGTCAAGATCAGTGCACAGGTGGCATTGAAGTACCAGAAAGAAGTGAGTGTTGCTAAGGAAGGCATTGCAGTTCTAGATGATAGAAAGTGACCACTTTTCTGTCCTAATAACTATTTTTCTACCTAGAAAATATTAAGGTAAAAGATAAAGCTACTAGTAAACTTTTTTTTTTTTTAAGGGCCTTTTCCCAAGTAATTCAGAGCTTTTTCCTACTTCTTATGAACTTCTCATGTGCCTGAAATTAGGCTAAAACCCACGAAACTCTCTTTACTATCAAAAGATCCTTTGAATTCTGATAATAGGTTCCAGTACACTTGTAGGCAAATGGCTTGTTTTATGCTCATTCTGTAGTTTCCATCCTTAGTGGATTTTTCAATAGGAGCTTTAAATATACCTTAGTAATTTTTGTCATTTTCTTAAGCTGCAACATACTGTTTAGGTCCAAACTCAGAAGCGGCTTCTGAGGACCATGGGGAAGTTTTGGATACAAATGTAAAATAATTCTACTTTAAGAACTCATGGAAATGAACTTTGCTGGGCATTGATTCTGTGAGATTCATATGGAAAAAATCCTAAGAATTCTCAGTTGAGGACATGCGAGTTAGTAAGATCAAGAGGGCTCAGACATTTTGGAATTTGTCTCAGACTGTAGGAAACTTTGGAATCATCACTTCCAATAAATTTTTAAGATCGCCGTGAGTGTCAGGCTCATTGTTATTTTGGCCGACTGAGGGGATAGGGGTTGTGTTTTCGATGTGGTGGTGTGGTGTTGAGCTCTGTTTGTGAATCTCACGTGCATTCACCTCCTGCTCTGCAGGCCAGTGTACTAGGCCAGTGGTCCTTAGTCACTGAAGGAGCTGGCTGCAGCTCAGCCCCAGAGTATCCGAGGCATCAGACCTTGGGTGGGGACCAGGTGTCTGCATTTAAAACACCCCTAGTGTTTCTGTCCTTGGAGGTCTGCAGACTGAGCTCTTAGGACTCTAGAAAAGCATGAAACCCTCCTTGCCTTCATGGAGCTCACAGCCTAGTTGCAGACATGAAGTCATTACTACAGAAGGACAAACCAATCCCAAATGGTTTATGCTACTTAAGATGCTATGTGTGAGATGTGCATGGCTGTCATTTTATTCTATTTATCAGGGAAATATTTAAATAAACTAATAAACATAGACACTCCCTGGCATCTATTACACGACCAGCAGTCTGCTAACCACTGGACATGCACACACCAATACAACCCAATTTGGAGGAAGGAAGCAATATCGTTGGAAACAGATCATGGTGGACTTTGAAAAGCAGCCCAAGTCTTTTGAACTTAACTTGGAAAGAAATAGGTAGCTCAGGCTGGAGACTCTAACCACGTCACTTCTAAAGTCCACCCTCCTTAGTGTGGCATTCAGAGCCCTCCATGACCGACCACCCCAGCCTTAGCTTGAGCCTTTCCCTGTTCCCCATGAACAGTGAACTGCTTGACACCATCCACTCCATTCCCTCTGCTTGGAATGATCGTTCCCCCTTCCTTCACTTGGCAGCCCTCACTTGCCTCCCCACTCCTCCTGGAAGCCTCTCCTGCCTCCCTGTTGGGCTCAGCACTGCCCTGCACCCTACTTCTATCTTAGCACATTCCTAGTGTCATCACGAATGTTCGTGTGTGTGCATCTCCTCCACTACATGGTAAGCAACTCCAGAGCAGTGGTTTCTCTCTTCTTGTTTTTGTGCCGCCAGCCCGGTACCCGGCACACAGTAGATGCTCCATCAATGTTTGCAGTGAGGTTGACAGATGTGAACATAGAAAGCAAATAAGAAACTCATTCTCGGGTTTTCTTTCAGTTGAATTCTGCTAGAAAGGATCTGGAGTGCTCTTTTGCCAATGAGTCCAAAGGTGTTGAGGGATGTGTGCTACCTGGAAACCTGGGGTCCTGGGCCGGGGAGGGGTCCTGGAATTCCTGCCCTACAGGTGCACAAGCAGTAGGCAGTCCGTGGCTCTGTGGAAGAGAGAGAGCAATGAGGAAGTAGACTCTGCCAGCTTGCTTGTTTTCAGGTTGTAACATTTCCCTCTTAATTGGCACGGCTTCTATTGAAATGATGTACTCTTGAATTTTTGCCAAGAGTGGCTGTATGCTAACAAAGCTTTTCTCTCCAACAAAATGGTTTCTGCCCTTTGGTCGCTGGTGGACAGCCCTTGCTTCATTCTGTGAGCAAATGAAAAGGCAGCAGTGAGTCAGTTTGGGGGAATAAAACAACACATCAAACCATGGGTTGGTGTCTGTATTATAAAGTCTTACCTCCTCTGAGTCAAATGAGATTGAAATAAGTTCTTTGAAATCATCTCTAGAAATAAGAAAAAAATGTCCTGCCTTCTTCGGAACCGTAAATTTTTCATTTTTTTCTAGATTTATTTTGCTGCACCTTGTGTAGTTTTAACTGTAAAGTAGAAAATATCTATGCTTTGCTTCTGTTCTCAAAGCTCTTTTAACTATTCGGCCCTGAGGCAGGGAGACAAAAACAATTTGGTTTTACTCTCTCACATTCCAAAAATAACTTGAGTAATACTCTCTTTGGTTATCTGAAACTGCAGACTGGATGCTTTTATCCTAAGGTAGCAGTGTCTGATTGTTGGGGGGATTTTAGCCATATGACTGTTATTTAGCAACTAAATGCTGGTGACTCATTCACTTTGACTGTGGTACAGGAAAATTCTTTCCATGGAAAACACAGGAGGGGGGAAAATCTCTCTGCACCACCATGTAGTATTTTCCTTTAGAAAAGGCTTCTCTGAAAATGAATAGGCACCAGCTGTTACTCAGCTAGCTTAGTCCCCAAAGCTGCCAGAGAGCCTTTCTCAACCAGGGTTTCTGTGCAATTTATCCACAAAGGTGTACAGGTAGGTTCAGAACCGTGATAAGGGACCAGTTTAGTTAATAAAGTTAAATCTCAGGATTAAAAATTGTCATCCTGAGTGAAAGAGAAATTGAACTAATTGCATTTATGGTATCTGGAACACTTATGTATGATGGGGTTTGGACTAGAAACCCAATGGTGTTTTACTGTCACATTCCATTAGGGAGAGGGAAAGAGGGGGAGTGGGGGGGGGGGAGAGAGAGCTCGAGCTTGCACACGCCAAGAGCTTTGAGCTGAATAACATGAAAGCCTTGGAGAGTAGGGCCTAAGTGAGGTGCTAATCTATTTATGCAGCAAAAATATAATAAAATAAATTCACCTGCTAGGCTCACAACACCAAACCAATTCCAGCTCTCTGAGGTTAATTTTGCTTGTCAGCGTCTCCTTAGGGGCTCTGAGGGTGATGAGGGGTGAGAGGAGTAGACAAGTGCAGTTTTAGCCATGAAAATTGGGCATGTAAAGGGCTTGCCTCCTCCATACTCTTGAGTCCTGCCCATCCTTCTGGACTTGAGGTTGGGTTGCTCTCATGCTTGCCTCACATTTATGAATGGGGGTTAGAGAAGCCGCTTAAAGGCTCTTATAAAGTGCTTATACTCCAGCTGGCCACTGACTTAGGAAAAACTTGACCCTACGGGGCTGCAGTGGGGGCAAGGAGTAGGGTGGGCAAAGTGTGTGTCATCGAAAAGAGGACCCAGGGGTTGGAGGGGACTTAGCCCTTACTTACAGGCTGAGACACTCAAGCTATTAATAGTGAAGCCCTGAGTCACAGATGTAGGAATGTCACAGCTGCTTGAGATCTGCTACTGTTACCCACCAGAAAACCTGCATAAAGGCCTCCCCCAGTCCCACCCCCACCCCCCAAAATGTAATTTCAGCTATAAACAACCTGAGTCAGAGATGAGGCAGGTTGCTTGACTTCATTCCTTTCTGTTGCCCTGCCTCTCTCAGACCCAACACGTTACAATATTTGCAGTAAATACAGTCTAATACTAGCTGTGCATTCTGGTTCTGAAAGATGTGTTGGCCATCTGCTGCTCTCCCAGAGTGGTGCTACGTCTGCCTTTTTGTCTCTGGCTCATCACGTGTCTCCCGCATGGTGGATGTATATGACGTGTGGTGGGGACAGAACAATCTGGTTTTGGGAGACAGGTGCTGGAATGAGGTGGGCGTGGGAACCACGAAATCCTCTGCTCCCAGGAGACTGACCTGTGACCCTGTGTGTCAGAAATGAAAAGCCTTGTCAGGAGCCCCTGCTGCTGGTTCAGGCTCAGGCCAATGAGGGGTGTGGGTGTGACTGTGTGCCCCCCACTTTGTGGCTGGGGTTCCTCCCTCCCATATACACATCCAAGGGGCTTGTCTAGAATACTCGAATGAAGCAGGGAGAAGGCGGAAGTCAGAATCCTGCCTAACTGGATAAGTCAGATTTTTACTTTGATCTTGAATTTGATCCTGGATAAGGAATTGAATCCTGAAAGATTCTCTTCCCAGGCTCTCTCTCAATGTCTCAGTCTCCTCTCCCCCTTCAGGTACCAGAGAGGGGAGCAGTAGGGCAAAACAAATGTCATTATTCGTTTTTCATTATAATTGAGCCTGCAGGACCTTAAAAGTTGAAGAAAATGAACTTGAAGGAGTCACTGGCATTATTTTTCTGCTAAGGCTAATTTTATTTATTCAGTTTGTCTGAAAGAAGTTGTAAAAAGAATTGAAAGCAGCGGTAATAGGAAACTAATAAGCTAACAATTGACTAGTTTTACTTACTGGAACAGTCCTTGGCTGTTCCTCGGCCCCCCTCTTCTGGCAATCATTTATCAGACCCCGGGAGGGGCCAGGGCTCGCTCGAGAGCCTTCCGCGGCCCGTTTTTTCCCGGGCTTTGGCGCGAGGAATGCAAGGTGGTGTCAGTGAGCAGAGATTAGGCCGGTGGAATTTTGCATTTGCTACAGCAGCAGCTGTGGCGAGTGGTTTGGGTCCAAGGGCAGAGTCCCCAGGCAGGGCGCGGCCACCGCTCGGCGGCGATCTCTGGGGCGGCACCGGAGCTCGGCCCTCCGAGATGGGGGCGGGATTTTAGAAAGAAGCCCCGGACTTCGCGAGTGGATGCCCGGGGCTTTTCCTCGCAGCCTCTGCAGCCGCGGTCCCTCTGCCCAGGCGCGCTGCCACTGCTAGACTTCATTCCTGTTTCCTTCAGCGCTGCTCGCCAGAGGACCCGGTTGCCATGGTGAAGGAGAAAGGTAATTATAAATATCGATCACCGTGCGTGGTTGCAGAAGTTGGAATGGTGCTGCAGGGCTTGCCCATCTCACCGGGGATGAGCAATGGAAAGCCGGGCAGACATGTTCTTGGTGCCGAGAATCTCTGTTTTGTGAAGTCTGGGTTTCCATGGAGCGGAGACTTCATTAAGAACCTTTAATTTAGCCACGGCGTCTGAAGCACATCCTATTTCTGGAGTGTTTGCACAGCTGAGCTCCTGGGCGTGTGTGTACCTTTTGATTGTTATTGCATTTTGAATTTTTGGTTGTGTTTGAGACTTGCCTTCCTGTCTCCATCCTAGCCTTCATTCTCTTACTCAGTCACCCCAGCCACATCAAGGGTTAATTAAGATGTGTAATGGAAGGGTCCTTCTACCAGGTTTGTGCTATTTGGGGACATGCCCAGGCCTAGCCAGGACTGGCTGAAAGGAGAAGCCGGCTGTTTTAAAGGTTTCAGGTGTGCTGTTTTAATAAGCTGACATTTCAGCCGTATCCCTAATCACTCCTCCAAACATCTTAAAGGATGCTGTTCATGTCAAAGGTGGCAAAACACATAAGGAGAACGTGAAAAGGGAGAGGGTGGGTGAGCTCTGCACAGGTGTACAATATTTATGCACTGGGTGTGGTCCTGCAATGTAAGTTAAATCTTTCAGAATTGAATTATAGTTTAAATTATTAGTTTATCTGGGAAATGTAAAAGAACACAGCAGTGCTTGATTTTAATTATCCAATATATAAATACAGCTTAGGTTAAGAAAGTGAAATGTTACAGAATAGAGAGTGAAAAGCGAAAACCCCTTACACCTACCTTGTGCCCCTCAATTCTCCCTTCTCTCTAGAAGTAAAATTATTAATAGTTAGTGTGTATCTTTCAAGACTTTTCTAGGCAGGAATAAGATAGGAGTATAAAAATGGGATCATTCTGTGATCATTTTTCTGTGACTTGATTTTTGTCTCTTAATACATCTTAGGAACCTTCACTGCATAATTTTGTAATGTGAATAACCACCCTTTAATTTTGCTCTTTGGTAAGCTTGGATTTACTCTGCTGTATTTTCTCACTGTGGGACATACTTTCTCCGTAAACACGGATGTCTGCTCTTTAGGGCTGTCTTGAACCATTTCAATGACTTATCTATATCTACTTTCTGTTGACGCCCCTACTGGGAATAACTTTGAGGTGAATGTGCTGAACTCGAATTGATCCTTGTTGCTGGAAACTCGGTTCGGTTTTATTGTACTAATGGATGGATGGAGAAATAGAATCATGACAGCTAACAGTGCGAAGGCTGCACCTTAGGGCAAAGAGAAGCATGATTCTGCTCCATCCATTCTGCTCCTGCATGTCTTTAATAATCACTGGCTTTAGCTTTGTTTTTTCACTGAGTAAGTGGTAATTGAATGAAATGACTTGGTGTGAATAAAGGTGCTTCTAATAATGTTTCTTCTTTTTCTTGGGGTGCTTCCAGGAACCCTCAGATTGACAAATACAGATATCAACATTTGATGAAGGTCAGGTCTCATCATTTGTACCTCCCACCCAGAACAACCTGGCCCTGATTGCTATTGCTAATGGATTTGAGTTTGCTTCCTTAGTATGAGTAATTTATGAGTGATGGGAAAGGTGATTACAAAAACCATTTCTTGTTTCTATTCCCATGGGGCTCATGGAGGCCCCAGACTTGCTGTATGTGGTATATGCGTTATAGATCAGTCGTCCTCAAAGAGCAACTCTTTTTCTGTCATTGCAGACTTCCCAAAGCTCACATTGCCTGGGTTCACATTTGCTTTACAAGTGAGTAACCACTTTCTAACTGGAACACTTTGGACAGGCCACCGAGAGGTCACATACTGGTATTATCTTAGCTCTTAGCCACTGATTAAAGGCTGTTCCTTTTTTATTTTGAGGTCTGTGTCAGTCCACAGTGCTGCCTCCCAGCTCCCTGACTGCACTGACCTCAGCCAACGCTGGAGGAAGGCAGGGTATTTTGGCAGGTACACAAGAGCTTCCATGGAAAGAAAGGAACTTCATCATAGCTTTCAAAGTGAGAACGGTACAGGGGAGTATGTAGTCCAGGCCTTCATCCTAGAGATGAGAACACTGGGGTTCAGCAAGGGTAAGTAAATTGCTCAGGGTCACACAGCGGGTAATTGGACCAAGCAGTCATCCTCTGTGTTCCATCGAAGGTGTACCTGGCTCAGGGACTGCACTTGCCACAGCATGTAGACGTCCACTGGCTCTCTTACTAGACGGGGAGCCTCTCAGAAGCAGCACTGTGTCTCCATCTTTGATTTTCCAGTGCATAGCATAGTGTCTGCCCTGTCACAGGTTCTCAAACGCTTGAAACAGGTTGGCCTGTTGTCAGAGCTGGGACTGGAACCTGTGTCTTCTCAATTCTGAGACCTTTCCATTCGTCTCCATTTCTTCTTACTCCCAGAGAGGCCTGGCTTCTTCCTTCTTGAGCTGACACAAATCACCATTGTGCGGGCTCAGGTCATGGCGGCGCCCATCTTGAGAACGTGGGAGGCCTTCAGAAGGAGGGACGTAGACTCCCTGTTGTGCTCACCACTTAGAGATGGTTTAGCTTGCAGTGGTTTGTGCCATCATTGTCTCTCCTGGATCAAGTTTCCGCGTATCTCTGTGGGATGGGGTTGACACTGACTGGAGAGAAAGCTTGCTGGCGGGTCAGACCTCTGCCAGTGTGGAGTGGCATTTGCTGACACAATTTGACCCTCATTATCTTTTGTTCTCCTAACCAGGCGCCCATCCACTTCCAGCTGCAGACACATATTGATCCGGGAATCTTGATGAAATGGTTATTTCTCTGATGTGTTCAAGGACATCTTACCCTTGCTGTATCTTGTACCAAAGAAGAAAGAGAGATTTTTGTGGGTTTATCAGTCAATATCTGTCTTCCTAAATACCCTCTCATCACCTCAACTCCAGACACTAAACTCATTTAAAAGCTATAATTGTCTAGCTTATGTGTGTTCTAGTGCAAGTTTTAAAAATACACACAAAAGGGATTCACTATTTCTTTTTGTTACAGAAAACAAGAATAAACAAATATTAGAGGTTAAGTTATGTAAACACTCATCTAATTTAAATAATAAGGGATGCTTATGGTTTGGAAACCACACGAGAGAATAAGAATTTAGCAGCAGGGGAGACACATCGAGGTAAATAGAGTTTTACATTTGGGCGCATCACTTTTGTTTTGTTTTGTTCCCTAGAAGCTTTCTGCCACTGTTGGATGGCCCAACCTGCTTTTAGGGTAGAGTGAGACCCAGTAAAACTCATTCCAGTCCACCCTCCATGGAGAGATGTTCACTCTCCACCTGACATTCAAGTGTATGGGACATATACACGAACACACACACGGCAATCTTTTTTCTGGGTAGCTTCTGAGAACAGTGCTGTACTGTGTTTCAAATGTGCCCTACAGACTGGCACCAAAGTAATCCTCTTAGGACACTGATGTCATCATATTTCTAGCTCAAAAACCTAAATGAGTGACAAGGTAAAGTTCAAGGCCACCTGCTAATCATTGAGGATTCTCCCCAAGTCCTTAAATTACCTCTTCCCTCGCCTATCTAAGCCAATCTTGTTTTATTTCTATTTTTAATGTTATTATTAAATCTGCCAGTTATTGAACGCATACTAAATGGCAGGCTTTGTGTTGAGAGCTTTACATACATTGTCTCTAATCTTTGAACCCGTTAAGGTCTGTGGTGTTCCTCTCCTTTAATAGATGAGGAAGAGGAGGCTCATGGGAGTTTAGAAACTTGCCAGAGATCACTTAGCTAGAAAGTAGAAGAGTTAAGGCCTATCTGGCTCCAAAATCTGTGCTAATTGTATGTATGCTTCCTCCCCTCCATTTTTCCTACTTGAATAATCATGGTGGGTGTTTTCCCTCTCCAACCTCAATTATATTTCCCCTCCTGCCCTCGTGAGAAATACATATGTCCTCCTTTTCTGTATTTGTCAAAGACCTAACTCAAGTTCCGCTTTATTATAATGATTTTCAAAGGCCAATCCCTTCTGTAAATTCTTCTAGAATTATGCTGTGCATCTAAGTAAACACCAGAGAAGTTAAACAACAATTCAGTCACCTGTGCAACTCAAGAAAGAGCTCCATCTCTCCTCCGCTATTTGTTGACTTCATATACGGTCTTGTAAAACAAGCTCTAGAGGGGCCGGCCCTGTGGCCAAGTGGTTAAGTTTGGCGTGCTCCACTTCAGCGGCCCAGGTTTGTGGGTTCAGATCCCAGGTATGGACCTAAACCACTCATCAGCCGTGTTGTGGCGGCTTCCCACATATAAAGTAGAAGAAGATTTGCACAGATGTTAGCTCAGGGCTAATCTTCCTCAAGCAAAAAAGCGGGAGATTGGCAACAGATGTTAGCTTAGGGCAAATCTTCCTCAGGGAAAAAAATAAAAGAAAAAAGAAATCTGTAGAGGTGGGTGTGAAGTGTTGCTGCCTATAATGGTATCTGTCTGCCTCCCAATCCCACTCCTCCCAAAACACACACCCACTCAGGTGTGTGCACACTGCCTAATGTAATCAAAACCCATTTCTGTTCCATCCTCGGGGAAGTCTGAGAATGGTAGATGTTTCTCTGCAGTGTAATCGTTCCTCATATATCCAAGCCACCTTTCAGGCCCCCTCTTTAGTGTATTATAGCCACTCCTGGATTCAGTTTTCCAGCCCTACTTCCTAGGTTGATATTTAATGCCCCACCCCTACCCACTCCTGGAATTGTCTAGGTTCTTCATCTTTTCCTTAACTTGAAAACCTCCAAGCTTTTCAAGAGTTCACCAATGACAAGGACATTTCCTAAGTAAGGTCTGAACAGAAGCTGTCGTTAAGGGAGACACCATGATGCTACGAGTTTCAGAATAAGTTGTCTTGATCCGTGATTTGTACACACAACTCATTTGTGAACTTTGTGTCTTCGAAGGGAGGGGAGTTCCAGTTTTTG